TTTAGGGAAGTGGAGAGTATTTTGTTATTTTGGGGGGTATTTTATATTTGAGAGCTTCACGGTCAGAGCTTGGGATGCTCCCAGCATCATTGGCTTCTCCTCCCCACCCTGGCAGGACGGCAGAGACTCCAAGTAGGAGCAAAATTATAAGAAACAGAATTTCACAGAAATTTCAGAATTCAGAAACAAAATTTTCAATATTCTATTCAATTATAATTCAGATATAGGTATTTTTTCACCTGTATTTGGGAAAATAGGATGGTGTGGGGACTTCAGCCAGCCCTCCAGAGAATGGGAGCAGAGAGGGAAGATTTTTTGGGGGTGAAAACCCATTTGAAGGACTTTTTTTGCTGCAAGCCCCTGTTGAAAGTGGGGTTTTTGCTGCAAACACCCACTTAAAGGACTTTTTTTTTTGGTGCTAAATCCCTGTTTAGAGGGCTTTTTTGCTGCAAACCCTTTTTTGGTGCAGACCCCTTTTTGAAGGCCTTTTTAAGGTGACAACCCCTATTTGAAGGACTTATTTTTTCTGCAAACCCCTATTTAAAGTTCTTTTTTGGTGCAGACCCACTATTTGAAGGGCTTCCTTGGTGCAAAACCTTTTTTGAAGGGCTTCTTTTTCTGCAAAATCCTCATGAAGTGCTTTTTTTGACTGCAAACCTCTGGCTGAAGGACTAAATTTGGTGCAAGCCCCTCTTTTAAGGGCTTTTTTTTGGTGTAACCCCTCTGTTTGAAGTACTTTTTTTGGTGCAAATTGGTTTTTGAGTGGCCTTTTTTTGGGGTGCAAATTCCTTTTTGAAGGACTTTGAGTGCAAACCCCTGTTTAAAGGGCTGCAAGCGCCTGCTTGAAGGAGTTTTTTGGGAGCAAGCCCCTGTTAGAACAACATTTTTTGGGTGCAAATCCCCACCTGAAAAACTTTTTTGGGTGCAAAACCCTAATTTATTGAACTTTTGTTGCCACGAAGCGCTTTGGAGGAGCAGCATCAGGGTGGGATGAGGATGGGGCAGACATTGGATGCTTGCACAGGACACAGGGCTTGTTCTGGGGGAAAAAGCCAGGAGCAAGGTGGGAACCCACTGACAGTTCTGAATGTGATTTAACCCTTCCAGTACCCCCCAAATCCCTATCCATAGTGCTTTTTTATTCTTAAGGATAATTAAAATAGTACAGGTTTTGCTAAAATAATTGCATTTTGCATGCAGAAAAGACTCCCTCTATTGCAGAAAAAATCATGTTTCCCGATGACACTCCTCACTATCCCACAAATAAAACCCTCTTGATTTTAAGGTTTGTTTTTTGTTTTTTTTTTTACTTTAATTTCAGCCTGGAGTAGGTGTTGGAGGAGCAAACACATCCTGGGGTCGGTAGCAGAGGAATATCCTCTCCATCCCCATGGGCAGCATCCCCTTTTCCAGCCATTTTTCCCTCCTTGTAGCTTCATACAGGTGCGAAAAGTTTTTTTTTTCCTGCTGTTTTGGGGGCAAAAAATGAAGTTTTCTCCACTTTTTGCCTTCTCTGTGCCGAGCACTCGCCACCCCGCTGTCTGTTTTTCCTTGCCGAGGTTCAGTTCTAATTATGTTGATTTTCTCCAGCCCACCCCCCTCCTGGCAAGCTTATTAGGGGGAATATTTTTATTTATTATCATTTCGCCCAACTCCCGCCAGCATTTCCAATTACTCTCGCCGCTTCCTTGTAATTGTCTTTCCGTAATGGCTGCGAAACAATTGCGCTAAATGAGGTGGCTCCGGCAAGATGAGGGTTTCACTTCATTAAAGGCTAATGGATTCCCAGCTCCAGCTCTATGGGCAAAAAAAAAAAAAAAAGGAAAAAAAAAAGAAAAAGAAAAAAAATAGATATTTAAACAACTTCTTTTATTTTATCGGGGTAACTTTCCCCGGTGTAAAGGGGTTGGGGTGCAGTTTTGCTGTTGATGACCATTAGATTTGAAGCATTGCCCAGGTTTGCTCCATAGCCAGGCTTCAACCTTTTTTGGGAGGGCTTTGGGGAATTTTAAAAATGAATTTTTTCTAAGTTGCTGCTGCTGGATGGGGTCCAGGTGTTGGGATGGAGCCAGGATCGGTCCCGGTACCAAGGATCCAGGTGTTGGGATGGAGATGGGATCAGTCCTGGTACCATGTGGAGTCAGACACTGGGACTCAGGGGATTTCATTTGGCAAAAAAAAGACATTGATTCCCACCAGGACTTTATTTGTTTGGGGGAAAAAAAAGCAAAATGAAAGCCTTGGCTGTAGCATGATGCTCAGGGCCAAAGTGCCCTGACACTTGACATTGTTAGCACAGGAATGACGTTTCACAGCAAAGTAAAATTCAGCGGGAAACTCCCAGAAACCCGTTCAGCAAAAGCAAAAATTCCCAGTTAGGTGAAATCCTCAGAGCCACACCTGCCACCAGAATTCTCACGTATTTGGGTAGACATCTAAAAACGGGTAGAATCCGGGTTGAAATGGCTGTGTCACTTCCATGAGCATCTTGCCTGTCAAATTTGCAGAAAATAGCTATTTTTGGGGTGCAAGGGGCACTCCAAAACAGAGGGAAAATGCTTTAATCATATCGATCACAGGAAAATCTGATTTATCACCATTGCGCTGGAGGGGAAAAAGCCAAAAACTTGAGAAAAGGGTTTTGGGTTTTTTGGAGAAAAGTGTGGACATTTGATAAAAGAGATGAAAAGCGGCAGCAGAAAGGGTTAATGCTTATAGAAGGTGGTGTGTATATATATATATGATAGATATTGGATATATTATGTTATATCCATGGGATCTATTATAATGGATGGATATAATGGATATTTTATATATATATAGGATATGCATTGGATATATTGGATGTATTAAGTTATATCCATGCGTTGGATCTATTATATTGGATGCATGTCTTGGACATAATATAGGATATCTATTGGATATATTTGATAAATGTATCCATTAAGTATATTATATCCATATAATCCATACTATTATATCCATATATCAGTTGAATATATGGTATATCAATCCAATATATATTATACTTTTTTTTTTATTTACCCTCTGTCTATATATCCTCTCCCGCCCATATATCCTCTCTCTCTCTCGGATAATTATATATATAGGTATTATCTATATAACTTCATCCACATTATCCAACTGTATCCATGTAATATATATAATACAATAATATATATATATGGGGTGGATTTAATTGGATAATATGGGTGAAGATACATATATAGATCTAATATATGTATAATAATCGAATACTCTGTCTATTGAATGGATTTAATTGGATAATCTGGATGAGGACACACATTTGCTATTCGCATATTCATGGTCCTGGAGAGCTTCAACTCTTCTGGGTGTTAAACCACTGGAATATGGATTTGTCCACCAAACTGGGGGAGCAAGTCGTGCAATATCTCAGGAAAATCCCTTTTTTTTAAATTCAAAATGCCTCTGAAAGCATCCGCCACTGATCATCGCATCCTACATCCTGTGGTTTCCTTTAACCCAGTCCCCCCCAGACTGCCTGTGCCCCAATAATGATGATAATAATAATGAATAATAATAATTATTATTATTGCTATAGGAACAAGGGCTCCTCATTGTAAATATATTTATCTTTCCACATAATAATGGAAATATTGAGCTGTGCCTCCTTCAGAAAGCCATGAGAGATTCCCATGTGCTATCCCCAGCCTGAGGCCACTCACCTTTATTCCTTCTAAGAGATAAAAGGAGGTAAAATACATTAAAAAAAACCTCTGCAAAATTTAGCTTTTTAAGAAACTAACTGACCTGCAAGCTTTACCTTCCAGCAAGGTGCGTGCAGTGGGGTTTTTCCTAGAAAAATGGCAATTTTGGGGCACACAAATGTGGCGAGGTACCCAACAGCTTTGCAAAATTGGGGACCTTGGGTTTGCTTTAACCATCCAGACGGATGCATGCCGTTGCCTTCATCCTTATTTTCCAGCCATCCTCATCCTCATCCTATTCAGTGTCCTTCCCTGGGGGCTGCATCCTCCAAGCTTTCAACCTCATTTCCTCATTTCCAAGGAATTGAAGAACATCCATATTTTTCCACCAGCTTTTCTTTCCCTGGGAAGGCAAAGGCCAGCTCAATTGGGAGAATAATTCGGGATATTTGGGATTATTTCATCCTCATCCTACTTGGCATCTACGCTTGGGGGTTGCATCCCTCCAAACTTTCAACCTTTCTTATTTCCAAGGAATTTAAGAACATCCGTGTTTTTCCACCAGCTTTTCCTTCCCTGGGAAGGCAAACACCGGCTTGATCAGCCGAATTATTTGGGATATTATTTGGGATTATTTCGGTACGAGGATGGTGCAACCCATGAGCTGAAGTACTTAATTATTGCAGACGTGACCTTGCTGGGATGAGCAGCCAGACGGTCCGGGACACACACCTCCAAAAAAAAAAACCCAGGCCAGGCTTGATGCAGGGTCTCCTGATGAAGCCAGCGCTCCCTGACCTTAATTAGGCACCCCTCATTAAGCACATAGCTTGTATAACTGCGCATCCAAACCTCCCTGGCCCTGGATTGTAACATTTCTGCACTCAGATTAAAAAAAAAAAGCCCAGTGTGGTTGCAGGGCATCACATCTCATCGTACCGGAGCTGCATCCTTATTAAAATAATTAGAAGACCGTTTTGCAATTATTATTTTTTTAGGATGCAACATTGATCGAGGCGGTAGCAACACCTGGGGCTTAATTTATCTTCATTCCAGGGCAGAAAAATGGTGTAAAGTGGCTTCAAAACTCGGCAGAGGAATTATTTTCTGTCCCATTTGGAAGGTCGATGGGATCTGGGTGTGTCACTGGGGACCCTTTTTTTTCCTCCAGCTGTTGCATCGCTATTAGATTTGCAGGGAAAAAACAGGTTTATGCTGCCTTCTCTGTACTGGACTTACTTCTGGGAGTTAAATCTAGCTCAGGTGTGCCAAGGGAGTCATGAAAAATCCGATGTTTCTGGGAAAATTACCCCTTTTTTTTTTTTTTTTTTTTTTTTTTTTTTTTTTTTTTTTTTTTTTTTAAATATAAAAGAAATAAACCAGTTAATTGAATTTCAAAGCATGAGGATTATTTTTTTTCTTGAGGGTGAGTAAAGAGCATGTGTTGGACTGAATTACCCTGCACCAATGCAAACAGGTGTCCAAAAAACCCCAAACCCCAAATCTTGAGGTTTTCCTCTGAGCTTGGGAACTAAATAGAGATTTTGGGGGGGGATTTGGTTGATTTGGGGTTGTTGGGAGCCTTTGATAAAAGCTGAAGAGCCCTTGAAAAGGAGCATCACCACTTCACAGCCAAGCCCTGTGCTCAGTGCAGAAATTATCAGCAGTGTGTTTGGCAAGAAAATTGGGGATAAAAAAGCACGTTTTGACCAAAATGTTGCCGAATTTGCAGGCTGGGGCTGTGCGACAAGTTAAATAACAGCAGCAAAGGATTTTTGCAGAAATAACTGCGCCATGGTAATGAATAGCCCGGGGGGTTTTGGGGGAGTTGAGCCAACTTACAGACATGCCTGTACCGGGCAGGCAGCAGGACACAGACAGCCCCAGGCTGGTCTTGGCTCTGGAGCCAGGAACAGGATGGACCTTGTGGGATCCAAACCTGGCCAGAAAACAGCTCGTGTTCTTCCCAGCTCCTTCAGTCGAGTTAATAAAAAAATGAGCGCTGCCTCCACGGAGGCACCGAGCCCTGCTGCTGGCAGCCTGGGGAGATGCAAAAAGGAGCATTTTCTTACAAGCTGGATTCAAATGGAGAGTCGCTGAGCTTTGCTTTTAGCCAGTGTCTTTGCTTTGGTCCCAGCCACTGTCTTTGCGTTGATTTTAGCCACAGGCCTTGGCTCGAGCCCAACCAGCATCATTGCGTTGATCCTATCCGGCATCCTTGGGTTGATTTTAACCAGCATCCTCAGTTTAAATTAGCATCTGTGGTCAAATCCTAGACAGCATTGTTGGTTTGATTCTCTCTCACATCAGTCCTACCCATCGTTTTCACCTTGCTCCCAGATGGTGCAATCTTAGCCAGCATCCCTGCTTTGACCCTCCCGAGCATCCTTGGTTTGTATTTAGCCAGCAGCGTTGGTTTGATGCACCAGCAGGAGCACCTGTGGCCTGATTCTAGCATCCTTGAGTTGATCCTACCCAACATCCTTGCTTTGGTCCTAGCCAGCAGCCCTGCTTTGATTTCAGCTAACGTCCTTGGTTCAGTTCTATGGAGCTTCTTTTCTTTGGAGCATCTTTTCTTTGGCGCGAACCAGCATCTTCAGTTTATCTGCTGCCCTTGGCTCAGTCCTAATCAACATCCCTGGCTCGATCCTACCCAGTCTCCTTGCACTCATCCTCTCCAGCATCCCTGGGTTGAATTTAGCCAGCATCTCAGGGCTGATCCTGGTTTCATCCTACCCAGTGTCTTTGCCCTGC